GGGGACACAGTTCAAGCTTCAGTGAGTTTTGGGGGGACATAATTCAATCCACTGCAGGTGCCAACTGACAGTTGCTGTTTGTCTGTAGTGTCATCGCCTACTCAGTCATCGTGGGGGCGCTGATGGCCAGTGGGAAGGAAGTAGCTGGGAAGATCCCCAAGGGGAAGGTACGTGGCACGTGGAAGGGGGAGTGTGGCCGGGCGTTCGATCCCGTTGCGGGTGCTGACCGTGAGCTGCCCGAGTTCAGCTGATCTAAACGGAGGCCTTTTCCACGTTGATCACGTTTCCAAATTTCTTTCTTTTTCAGTTAGTTGATTTTGAAGCTATGACAGCCCCCGGCTCAGAGGCCTTTAGCAAAATAGCTAAAAGCTGGATGAACTTGAAAAGGTAACCACTTGAAGGGGTGGGCGAGGGGACGTCAGACAGCACGGGAAGGGGCTCCCTGTAGCTGTGGGGCTACGTGAAAATCAGAACCATTAACACCCGTTTTTAGAAGTTAATATTTCGTACAGTGAATTACATCCACGTTTGCAAGGTTACGATGTTCCGCTGTTGTAACAGACCCTTTAAGGGCGAGTGTATGGATACAAATGAGTGGGAAACAGAAAATAAGGAAAGTGGTTTGTGAGAGAAAAGTGACAAACGTCTCAGTCCCATCACCAGCTGTTCCTTTCTCTTGCCCATTCACCCTTTATTCCACACCCTTGGGCTCAGTTGAACACTGAGCCATTTCATGTCAGTCCAGGCGGTGGCACTTTGCATACATAGTTGCGTCTCACTGCGCTACCATTTTGAGAAGGTGGCACCTCACTGTCATTTACGCAGGGAGCATGTGCAAGCCCAGAAATACTAGCCGGGGATTATCCCTGGCGGGGCCCAGCAGACCCCGGTGTCCCCAGAGCACTGGAGAGGAGGCTGTGACACTGAGCTCACAGACGCATTCGTGGCTCACTAGACAGAGTGAGCTCTGACCTGGCCTCTTCCTGCTCCATCTCCATGTTTCTTACATCCTAACCGCCCCACGTGCCTTCATGTCTGTCTGATGTAGCGACCACTCCAGTAGTTGCTGGGTCATTTGTACTCTGTCCACATGGAGGAACTCCTGTCTGCCACCCACCGTCGCCCAGTTTATTACCAACCATGAGCTTTGCGATGAAAACTTCTGACAGTCCCACCTCGTCCTGATGAGTTCTTGTGTGCGGTTTGCTAGTGCACGTGTGTTGGTCCTGTGACCCCAGTGTCAAAGATCCTGCTTCCATTTCTTACGTAATTTTACAGTGTGAGCATCAGCAGGCCTTACGCCGTGCAGACAGCATGTCACAACGTGTTCTGATGTACGTCATGTCATCCGTGCCCGAGGTTACTCAGTGAGCTGGGAATACCGACCCTGTTCTCACCACCCAGGGAAGGGGGACTAGAGAAAGGACTGATGCTGATAAGGGGCGAACCTGAAGCCCGCGTCTTTGGTTCCAAGCGCAGCGTGGACCACAGTGGGACACGTGGCGCACAGTCCTGTGTAGATGAGAGCGTGACTTGCTTTCCCAGAGCTCTAGATGAACTCGAGCAGGAGCTGCCGATACCGCAGCCTTTGGCTGGAGGCTCTGTTCTGTTCCCTGTCCCCCTGCTTTCCTGCCATTGCCTGATACGACGCACTTACGGGGTGCCCGAAAATGCATGTGGCAGCAGGAACAAATAT